AGAAGCTCTGGGAAGCAGGAGGTGTCCAGTGCAAATTTAAAGGCCATCAGAGAACTCTCAGACTGCAGAAGACTGTGTCTGAATTATTCCTGCCTGGCAGTAGAGTTTTATGTTCCCATTGTTATGGGCTTCATGTGGCTCAGTGTATGGGTTTCTTTGACCAGTGGGACCTGAGCAAACAGGAGACAGATAGAAGCTAGAAATGTTTGTAGGGCTGGGCTGGGCTGTCTCTTGACTGCTTCTACTGCCACCATAAAAACTCCACCCTGTGTCATGCTGCCCCCTGAAAGTTCCCAGAATAAAAGCACCTGCAGCTTGCATCTGTGCCTAGCCAGACCCAGATGAGATCAGCAACCCCAACAGGTCCACAGACTTCTGGAATAAAGATATTTTTTGTTGTAAGCAACCAAGGTTTGAAGAATATCTGTTACATGGCATTATTACAATAGATAACAGATACAAGAATGGGGCCTGAGCATGGGTATATTTTAAAACTCCTTGATGATGAGTTATATACATGTGCCAATTCCCCACAAGAAATGTAATCATTATGTACTGCAAACATGTACTATGAAAACAAATTTTAAAAGAGTAATAAAAAAGTAAATAACTAAAATTCCTCTGCATAAATCTAAGATACAGCCCAATTTGGGAACCAGGAAACCAGAAGTTGCTGTGGTTACAAAATAACATCAGAGAAATATTAGGTTTTTCAAAAACAGTACTGGTGTTCTGTATACATCTTCTCACTATAAAACTGTATTTAAAGTTACAGTACATTTTTGTTATTGTGTTCTTTGTGTCCATAATCACATCACACATCTCACATACGATCAGATTTTTGGGTGGTGTGGGGTCCCTCATTGACAGTGTTCTGAACTTAATTTTTATCTCACTGCACAAATCAGGCTTATTCTAGAAAACATTCCTTCAAATAGATTTTATTCAGTGCTCAGATGATGGAGAATACAGGTAGAAAAAAATAGATTTGTTTGATCCAATTTTTCCCCAGGAGGTCAACAGACACAGAGTTCTTCCTGGGGTCAGAGAGCCTGGTCTTGGAGCTTTTTCAGGTGGGTTGTAGCTGACTTTACACGTCAGGATCCATCAATCTCTGAATCTTCCAGCAATAATTAGAGGTGAAATGAGCTCCTCTGGGATCCTTGTGGCTTTTCTAACCAAACAATTTGTGCTTGGTAGATAATGCAGGGCCTTTCAAAACCAAAAACTCCTTTTGCCATTGCAGTGCCTAATGTGATCACCGTTCCCTGGGGCCAAGAGGTTCATGGTGCCCTCTGCTGTCAGGGCACTGTTGGGAGCAAGGCTTTGTAGTGGCTCAGGGATCTGAGTGCCAGGTTTGGCTCTGCCTCACCAGCCAGAGGTGGGGGGAAAATGCCTGGTGGCTGTCCTGCACCCACATCTCACCTTCTTGTGCTAACAGTACTAAAGTCTGGAGAGGCCAATAGCCAAGGGACTTCACTCTTCCAGGGGCTAAGGGCAGCCTCCTGACTTAAATCAGGACCCTCACATGTCCTCTCCTGGAAATTTTAATTTATACAAGAATGAAAATAGAAGCCAGGCATGGTGGCGTGCACCTGTAATCCCAGCACTTGAGGCTAAGGTAGAAGGATCATTGCAAGTCTGAGGCCAGCTGGGCTCCACAGTGAGTTCAAGGCCAGGCTGGATTGCATAGTGAGACCTGAAAAAAAAGGAAGAAGAAGAAAAGAAATAAAAGAGAAAAAAATGAAAATAATTGAGCACAATTATCTCATTCCCTTGATGTGCTGATAAGACTAAAGACTAGCTCTCTCTTTTTATATAAATTTTCTGGAGCTTGCTCTGTCTCCTTATTGGTTTTTTTATCCTCTGAACAAATTTCTTGGAATTAAATTGGTCAAAGTCAGTTTCTGTTACAACCAAAGACTTGCAACTCATTCACTAGTTACTTAGGAACCTGAGCGATTATATGGTCAGCTTGGTCAAATGTCCATTTCACACTGTGGAAAGAAGAGGTGTAGGGCAAGGAGTGACCTGACGGAGGTCATACAGTGGGTTGGAGATGCTAAAGAGGGGAACCTGGGTGTCTGAGTTCCCAAAGAACTCACAAAGAGAAGCCCTGAAAAGTTATGTGCAGGTCTCTGACCACCCATCCACACCTCCCACAGGACCCTCTAGAATAGCTACAAATGAGGAGCAGAACCCTTGCCAACCAATTAGTGACAACCATGAACTTTGGAAATAGAAACAAACACTTGTATGATCAAGAGGCTCACAGGGCCAGGCAGGCTGGAATCAGCACTCTCTACAGCATCCCCCTCTGCATAAAATGCAATTACTCTTCTCTTGCCACACTTGAGAAGTTGCTCTGTGTCTTAGTTACCTTTCTCTCATTACTGAGACAAAATACCTGACACCCAAAATTAAGGAAAGGTTTATTTAGCTCACAGTTTGGGAGGTTTCAGTCCATAATCAGTTAGCTCCAAGGCAGCATGGCATGGCACAGAGGCAACAGGTCAACATGGCAGAAGAGAGCAGAAGCAGCAAGAGAAAAAAGGGCAAGAGTAAGCCTCTTTTCCTCCCTTGTAGTGTATGCAGACTACCCGCCCTAGGGCACGTGTAGTACTCACACTATCTCCGTGTCTTCCTCTAGCACAGGCTCCAGATGTTTGCGAAGTGAGGACCCTGGCCTCCTGATGAGTCACTTAGTTAATCTTCTAAACTTCTCAAGTTGACACAATGCATCAACCATTACACTCTGCAATTAGAAAATGCAGTCCCATGGGGGCGACAGCCCTGCAGACCCTCATTCCTGTCCTGGAGTCACTCCCCCCACCCCTGTAGGGCGTGCTCAGTGGTGGGGACAGCTGTATATAGGTTGTGTCCCCAGACCTCCCCAGACTCTGGCCCTGGGGAATCAGGGTGAGTGGCTGGGTCAGTAGGTCCCCACCTCTTTAGGACTATTTGTTCAGTGGGAATGGAAGTACAGTTAGCCCAGTGAATTGAGGGCTGGTCACTTTTTCTATAAATCTTTCTTTTTAAGGTGAAAGTGAGTTACAGTACTTCTACTTGATGAAGAGCTCACTATCAGCTGGAGGAACTGTTTGAATGGAGAAGAATTACAATCTACATTTAGTATACATAGTGCTGATGTCCTAAATGATAACTATGTCCTGCATCATAGAAAGACTACTCCGTACCAGAAAACCTTTACAGAGCCCCAGAATATCTCAGTTTTTTGCAAGGGTTATGGGTGGCTCCATAGTGGCATCCTAACTTAGGTAGAAAGGGCAACTCGCAGCAGATCTCGGGCTCAGGAACTGTTCAGTCCTTTGCCTATTCAAAGACATTTCACAATGGTTTCCAGAAACATCCCATTCTGCCCAGACAGACTTGTTCTAGTGTTGATGAAATAGAAGAATCTTGCAAAATTTTTGCAATCAAAGCTAAAAGGCCGTTTCCAAGAAACAGGAATAAGATTCTCTTGAGTGTTCACTCTGTCTCTGGATAAAGCCTCTGCTTAGCAAATGTATCTCTCCCCAGCATGGCAGTTTTCATTTACTTAAAATGTCAACCACCATTAATTGGAGTTCTAGGTGATAGCTGCCTCAGCTTCAAAGTGACTTTTCTGAAATAAAGACTTAAGCAGATGGCCAAACCAAAGGGAGTCAGTATAAAGAATTGATGCTTTAAAAAACAATAGAGGATATGGAGTAATTAGCTTACTGATTTGGGAAAGAATTCAACCACAGGCTTAAAACAGCCCAGTGAGGAGCCCGAAGCGAGATTTACCCCACACAACTTTGGCACAGGTGACAGTCTGCATCAGCACAGAGGTCTTATCTCCTTTCTTCTCTAAGCCTTGCCTCAGAGGAACAGAAATATGTGGGAGTCAAAAAACAATACCCTAACTTCACGATGAGCTGGAGAAACAGTCCCAGAACAAAGGTCTCTCTGCTCATCCACCTACTCTGGTCTCTTGATTATCTTTGATCTGCTTTCTCTCCTTAAATCCCGGGAGAGATTTTCTCTGATGTCTCTTATCAGACTGAAGGGTGTTTCTTTCCCAGAAGGATTGCCATTGTTAGGAAATCTCACTAATTAGGGAGGGTGAACCACCAGAGAAAAAACTGGAAATTACGCACCAAAGCTGCAACCTGAAGAAATTTGTCCCAGACCACTGTGTCTCCTCTGAGTTCATTCATTTGCCTGGAAAATGATTTACTGCCTACAGGCGAGCCTTTCCTTCTCCCTGTAAAGAGTGCTACAGTTTGAACCTGAGGATCCCCTAAAGCTCCTGTCCTACACACTTAGTCCCCAGCCTGGAGCTACTGGGAGCTCGTGGGACCCTTGAAGTGGCACCTAGTAGAAGGAAGTTGTATTTCTGGATGATTTTGTAGGGGATATTGGGGCCCCAACCCCTTCCCATTGCTTTTGCTTCCCGGCTGCTGTGAGGTGAAGGGTCTTCCTCCTCCATCATGTGTTTTGCCACTATGATGTTCCAAAGCCAAGGAACCTAGCAGCCATGGACTGAAACTTCCAAAACTATAAAGCTAGAATAAGCCTTTCTGCCAGACCCCTGTGGGGACAAAGAAGAGATAACTCCCCAAGCAGAGCCACTGACTGAAGCTGCCGAGACATGAGATAACAGGGAGCCAGAGCTTACAAAAGGAGATAACGAAGGAATCGCCCTACGCAGCCACACCTGCAAGACATGGATGTCACCAAGACTCCCAACTCCCCCAGACCTAGACTAAATATTTCCCACTCCTCCCTGCCATACCCCTCCCCTATCCAAATACCCCTGTACCCCCCCCCCCGCCTGATCTCCCTTGGCTCAGCTGTGCCCAGGCTGGAATGAACTTCACTTGTTGTGTCAACTTTACCTGACTCAGTGGTCTTGGTCATGCCTCCATTTACCCCAACACTCTCCTTCTTAGTAGATTGTTGCACAGTGATAGAAAAGTGACCAACACACAGAGCCCATTGGAGTCTCCACCATTTGGCCCTTCTTTGCGTTTCATATTTTCTGTGGCACCCATGCACATGTGGAACATATTCCTATGGTTCTTCTCCTGCTGATCTATCAGTTGTCAGCTTCTTTCAGCACCTGGAAAGACTCAGTCCTTTAGAGGGGGAAGGAAACAGACAGACACCCTGAAAGTGCTTATAAATCCATGTTTTAACATTATTCTCTGGGTGACAGCCCCATTTCATGCTCTGCATGGGAATCCATCTCAATACAAAGAAAAATTATCTAGAAATTTTAAAAAGCCACACTTTATTAGTCTCCATCACCCACCCCATTTTGCTGATTTTTTGCTGGTTTTCTTCCAGAACATTGTAAAGTCTTGTGGTGAAGTTATTTGTTACAATGGGAGGTGTTATGGTTAATTTTAACAGTTTCAAAAACTGTTTTGTCCTCCTATTTTTCATTCCCCATGATGACATGAACATCAAAGCAGTTCCACTGGAGGCAAGTAATTTCATATTTAAAGTTCGAAATTCACCTCACCCGAAACAGACACATTCCATCACTAGAGATGCATTCAGTATTGGGGATTTTTAGTTCCATTTTTCAAGGTACTCCTAGCAAAATTTTATTTCACCTAAAATGCAGAGAGGTGACAAAGACCCTGTCATGCTTTGTAAGTTTCCTTCCTTCATGGCCAAAATCTGCAAGGGGATGGTGGAAATAATATCTGTTTTTCTGCCATACATGCCGAAGTGGAAAATGTTATAAGAACAATACTGTGTGAGTTGCCAGGTTGAGCAACTTGGCCTGATCCTGTTGAGGAAACAGGATGATGCGTCAGATGTACAGTCCCAGAGCTGGGGACGGGGGTAGCGCAGTGATGGACTTCATGAGCAAGTACAGGACCAGACGCAGATCCTTTATCAGAATGCACGCTCCATGCCCCATGTGCAGAAGAAACAGCTTCTCCAAATCTAGCCTGGCTTTCACAATCTGCTTGGCTTCCCACTACGTTCCTCCAGGCACATTTCCCTCTCCCATCAGTGAATTCCTCTCTGGTTCACTGGTCATGAATTCTGTGGCCTGGAAGGACTTGATGAAAATCCCACTCTTGGTAAACCAAAAACTCCTGAAGGAGAAAATTTGCCATTATCCTCTTCATATCTCTAACGTCTGCATGGTTTAGTTTTACCTCTCAGCCAAAAGAACAGAGATAAAGTAGCATCTGAATAATCTGTTCCTCCCACAGTGTTTCTCAAACACCATGGAAGAAGTCCAAGTCCTCTGCATTACTTCCTACAGCATTTGCCCCCACCTGAGCTGCCCCTCAGAACACCGAGACAGCCCACAGCCTTCCATTCACCAACCTCTCCCAAGTAGTCTCCACTCACCCCCTTGATCTCTTAGTTCCTCTTCTTGCTGCTTCTTTCTCCAAAGCATCTGGTAAACCCTTGGAGGCTGGGGATGTAAGGTAGGAAAAATAATATTTTGTGTCTGTATAAACTTAGAATGAACCCTTGTAAGAAAAAGGAGATTAACAAGAGAAAAGCAGCTGTTCACTAAAATAGAGCCTTTACAAGAAGACCATCAGGGTGGGGCTAATCCAATCTGTCTGGCGTCTTGTGAGAGAAAACGTGGGTGCACAGAGAGACCCCAGAAACACAGGCAGAGGACAGGCCTGCGAGGAGACAGTGGGGAGATGCATCCACAAACCACATTCATTCCCCTCTTGAGGGAAGCCACCTCACCAGAGCCTGACCTTTGGACTTTCCAGCCTGTGCAACTGACAGAAAGCAGATTTCTGCTGTGTTAAGCCATCCATTCAGAAGCGTTTGGTTAAGGCAGTTGGAGAAGCCGACTAACACAGCCTGGTGTCGAGCTCCTGTTCTCCTACACTGTTTTTGAATGCCTGCTGGTTATGCAGATTGACAGGTTACATTTTGGTGGATCTGCACATGAACATGCCATAGTTTAATCACACCCCATCATCCCCCCAACCCCATCTTGTTTTACATGGGGGGTTCAGTGTGGATCAGGTATTTGAATTAAAGTCCTGCACCCTCCTCCGTGCTCCCCACAGTGTGGAGGAAGGGCTGCAGGCGCCCAGACAGCTGGCATTGCACTGTGGCTCCTGAAGGGACCCTGCAGAGCACAGGTGCGTCACACGCTTGCAGCCAGAATAGGTGCATTCACAGGAGTGCATTCATTAATGTGGACACATGACACACTCCGGGCAGTGGGAGCAAGTAGCTTCTGAAGCCTTCTACCCTCAGGTGTAGGTGGCAGAGTGTCTGAGGAAAAGAGGGAGAATCCGAGAAGAGTGGAGGTGGGAGAAAGAGCTGAGGGGGAGGCAGGTCCAGAAAAGCGGAAGGATGGGTGGAGTCCTGGGTCAGCAGAAGGGAAGGTGAAGAAAGACAGCCTAGGAGGGGTGGGCCCAGGGAAGCCTCCCAGCACCCCTGCAAGGGGTCAGCACCACCGAAGCCTAACTTCAAGTGCATGTGATGGGTAAGGATCTGAACTGCTAAAGAACTGGCTTTGTCATCTCTTTCCTCCCTCCTTCCTATCTTCCTTCCTTCCTTCTTTCCATCCATCCATCCATCCATCCATCCATCCATCCATCCATCCTTCCATCCATCCAGGGTGCCACTGTGTGTGGCTGTCAGATTCTCCTGCTTGCCTCGTGGTTAGCACCTTCAAAGCACTGATCGTGCAAAGCATTATCAAGAGACACGGGGGCCACCTCCCTCCGTGAGGCAGGAGGGAAATCTACCCCCGAGAGAGTGCAGAGTTTAGGTAGATACCAGAGAACATGCCACGTCCCCAGACTTACCGAGGGGAGGCACTGTGACCCTACTTGTCCGCTGCTGTTCATTTTGCTTCCCTGTAGATACAGCGACTAACTGGACTCTCCTTGCTTTGGGCTTGTTCCAGACTCATCGTCCTTCTCCCTTTCAGCTCCTCCCTCTGACCTGCCATGGACCCCAGGCTTTCATCAGACTGACCAGGGAGAGAGGTCTCTTGGCCTTCACTACCACCATAGCCGCAGGACAGACACTCCCTCTGGGTGGGGTGTGGGGAGAGAAGGAAGCAGCACAACTTCCCCCAGGGCCTAGAACTAAACTGGAGGCCTCTGCAAGCTCAGAGACAAGGTGCTTACCTTTTACAGATGGGCTAGGGCAGAGAATGTGAAACTCAGAGCTACAAAAGCCATGAGACACCCAGGGACCCAGCGCTCTCCTTCGACCCTGTGGACATGAAGCCTGAAGACAGTGAAGGGAGCGTCCAGTTCCATGAAAAGCCCATGAACAACAGAGCTGAGACTTCCAGTTTGAGCCATGGTTTCTGTCTAAAGCACCAGGCCTCTCCGTTCTGGCCCTGATATAATCCCTGAGTCAGCTGATGTCTTTTTCTTCCCGCTTACTGACCTCACATTTGCTAGTTCACTGAAGAGAGTTTGCCGGACCGAGAACTCTCTCATCTCTTTCTCCCAGCACAAAGAGGCACCATGGTGGCTCCAGATGGGGTCACCTTGGCTTAGCAGGGCAGAGTTTCCCAGAATTGTCCTGTCCATGCAGCTCCAAGTGAGCGGGGCCACAGAAGATGCCTGGGGGAGATGTGGAGGACGGAGGGGAGGGGGCAGCGCCTCCTCTGCGCCTTGGAAGGCTGACCCGGGCTGAGGCCGCTAGCTGCTGGAGGCCTCTCCGACTCCGAGGCCAGCTGCCTGTGCAGCTCTCTGACAAGGGGTATCTGTTCTAGTCCATTTTCTGTTGCTAATGACACAGTACCACACCCTGCCACAAAAAAGACATGTTCGTTTGGTCTAGTGGTCTTGGTCCAAGGTCTAAGGGCTGCGTCTGGTGTTAGCTGTGGGCTGGTGGGTTACTGAGGGTGCTACAGGGCAGAAGGCAGTGAACACGAGAAAACTTGACCAAGCTGGCTTCCATAGCTGACCCACTCTCAAGCCATTAACCTATTAATCCACTAGTTGCATGAAGGGATGAACCTATTCATGAAGGCAGAGCACTAATCACCTCTAAAAGGCCCCACTGGGGCCAATCTAGGCATTTCATAACAGGATTTAGATTTCAACATGAGTTTCAGAGGGCACAGACCCATCCAAACTGCAGTAGCATCGAGGGTGGGGGACAGGGGCAGAGGAGAGTGGGGTGCTGGCTGGGCGACTCTCTTCCTGGAGGCCCTAGAAGAAAATCTGCTTTTTTGCCTTTTCCAGCCCCTATTGCTGTTTTCTTTTCTTGCCCTTTGACTCCATTATTGAAGCATGTCACCTAGTCTCCGATTCCCCTGTCCGTGCTCCTGCTCTGACTCTTGCCTTCCTCTTTCATTACAGAGACTACTGAGCTGCACAGGGCCCACCCGGCTGATCCGCCATCACTGCCCCACCTGCAGATTCCTAACTTCATCCCAGCTGCAGTGTTCCCTTTGCCCAGTAAGGTAGGGTGTTCACAGGCCCTGGAGATGAGGAAACAGATATCTTTGGACATTGCTGTCTCCCATACTGATTTAAACTCGATGATAATGACTCATCCAAGGATGTACACCTACCTACTCCTCCAGCCACAGCTGGAGCATGGGCTACACAGGCACAGGAAGTATTCCTCTGGGTTGGAGCAAGATGCCAGCCTTGGAGCTACGCACATACACAGGCCATCATGGGGACAGTAACATGGTCTGTCCTTGTTGTAGCGGCCCTGAGCCCTCTGCTTGTTCTTAAGAACAAAAGTTTTTCTCTCTGGAAAAGGTGTCTGCACTAGGTAGTGTCCTGATATCCCGCTCCAGCTGACAATGGCTACCAATAACGCTGAGGCTGTCTCAGAAAGGAAAGGCTTGTGCATTGTACTGGTATTTCCTATGGACAATGCTTAAAAAGTTCAAACGGTGTAAGTGGCAAGTAGTAACTTAAAGTAAAACGTAAAGTTGGGAGGAAGTGTTCTAAGACTCATAAACTAACCCCTCATCTAGCACAACAGAGAGCTAGCTGATGCTGATTGAGACTATTAGATCATAACATTGCTGCCTCACATGTTGTATTAAAAATGCAGACGTGTTTTTCTGGTTAGGAAAAGAGATGGGAAAAGCTAAAAGTAGGTATTTCTGGGGAGAACTTGGAGGCAGGAGGCTGTGTTTTCTGTTACAAGCATTTCAGGATATTTTCATTTAAAGCCAGACCCCTTAAAAAGCATAAAATACAGATCTATTCTTAGTATAGAATTGTGGAGATATGATGACTGGAGATTAGATAGATCGTTTAAGAGCTTCCCTGGTGTAATTTCCAGTTGTTTGCAAAAAAGAAAGGAAAGAAAAAAAAAAAAAAAAGAAAAGAACCTAACCTTTTACAATAATACCCAGAGGCTGAATCATATGCGGATGAGTGTCCAAGTCTCTATTTCCTCTGCAATCCAAACACAGCACAAGTAAGCAATTAAGTCCAGTTTTAAATGCAGGCAGAAGTTCTCTCACTCTATTATGCTTTCAGCAGCAGCTGAATCACTTCCATATAGACAATCAGCTGGACAAGACAGGTTAATCTTTCTGTCTTATCTATGGCTATATGTATTCCCAAAGAGTCTGCAAACACCAGGCAAATACACATTTACATCCTGGCGGGGAGAATTAAGCTATCACAGGCCCTGAGAGATGCTCAGGTCTGGCGTTCTGGCAGGGCTGAGAAGCCCCCTACAGGACAAAGGCTTATTGCCTGGGACAAGGCAGAAGCCTCTCTATGATTGGGTGAGCTGAGAAACTGCATGCCCCTGAATACCCTCCTATGAAAAGTGTGCCTACTTCACCCCACTGAGGCCATTAGTTCCCCACATGCAATTCCCAACCCCACTCATTGTTCTAAGTTGGAGTCCAGGCTCCAGAAAGACCCAAGTAAAATACCAGCAAATTAACCTGGAAGGACTAACTTGTAATAAGTCACTAACTCACTGAGGTACATCCATTCGCCTCTCACAGAGAGCTGGGTCCAGGAAACAGGACTGCAGAAGGTGGGTTTTCCAAGAGGGGTCTGGAGTGCTATTAACTGGTGCAGGAGTGCATGGGGTCATCAGGGAGGGGGTTAGTAGCAGGAGGCTGTGGGAGATGGTGGCTGACCAGGAAGCAAAGACAAAGGAAAGAATGTTGAGAACAGACAGTCCAGGATAGCAGTGCCCTACACCACACGGACCACAATGTGAATGGCAGCCCTGGAGCTTGGCAGCAGGGTGCCCAGAGGGTGCAAGTGGATGCCAGCCTTGCGGGGGTCACTGGAGAAATGGGAGAGTCGGGTGAGCTGAAGACTGGAAACCACTTGGGTAGGTTACAGTAGGTGCAAGGGAAGCCTCAGTGATGCACTGTGGTTTCCTGAGGTGTTCAGTTCAAATGGTCTGACGTTCGTAGTGTGATCAAAAAATGTGGTGAGGCCAGGCATGGTGGCACACGCCTGTAACCCCAGCAAGTGAGGCTGAGGCAGGAGGACAGCTGTGAGTTCGAGGCCAGCCTGGGCTACAAAGTGAGTTCAAGGCCAGTCTGAACTGCATAGTTAAACCCTGTCTCAAAAAGACAAAAAAAAAAAAAGGTAAATTTAAAACCATTTTTTATTACAAAGTGAGTTCAAGGCCAGTCTGAACTGCATAGTTAAACCCTGTCTCAAAAAGACAAAAAAAAAAAAAAAAGGTAAATTTAAAACCATTTTTTATTACAGTAAAAGACACATTGCTATTAATACCCCTCAAAATACCCAATCATTCCTGCCACTGTTTTTCTTTTTCTTTTTCTTTTGATCCTCTTGCCTCAGCCTCCTGACAGCTGGGATTACAGGTGTGTGCCACAATTTGCCACTTTCAGAAGCAGCTCTGGAAGCCCCTTTTGTAGGAATCTTTAGTTGTATTGTCTTGGCTCCCTTGGGTTCTTGAATTGATTCAAAACATTCACCCTTCACAGTCACTTTGACTTTGAGAAGATCCAGAAGTCACACAGTGCCAGGTGGGATGAATAAGGTGGGTGAGGACAAATCTTGATGTTTTGATTTGACAGAAACTGCTATAAACATTTTAAATCAACTCAGGACACCAAGCAGCCACAAAAAGACACTGACAAAAGAGGACTTCCATAACTGCCTCACAAAAGGAAAGAGAGATGAAGTAAGTATTTCAAGGAGAATTAATGGCAATGTGTCTTTTCTATAATTTTTAAAAACTTAAATATTCACAATATATTTTGGTCATACCTCATCCAAGTCAGCCAAAGGTGAAAATGTGAACAGTATATCCCAAACTGGCCATCATAAGATGAACTGAGAAAGACATATGGCTGTTAATTGAATCAGAAGTGTTAAAGAGAGCTTTCCCCCACAACTTCCAATAAGATGGGAAGAAATGTCAACTGTATCTATACCATTATCCATTTGGAAGATGTCAAAAGCTCTCACAAGCCTGTACCATGCTCTTGGACTTGCCAGCATAGAGATCTGTGAGAAATAAACTTCTATTCTTTGTAAGTTACTCCATCTCTGGTATTTTGTTATAGTAACAGAAAACAGACTAAGACATATATCATATCTCATTGGATCCTAACCAGACTGTGAAGTAGGTCTTTATGCTTGTTTTATAAATGAACAATCTGAGGCTTTGAGTCATTTCCCAAAAATCACACAGCTAGGGAAGGAGAGAGAAGGAACTGAGCCTTAGTCTCCCCATTCACGTCTCCTCCCATCGAGAGCCTGGATGAGGGAAGACACCATCAGCGACAGCCTCCATGCAGTGTGACTGGTGGAGAGTGGACTTAGGGTCACGTCGCTCTTCACACTGCCTGTGGGAAGAGGCAAAGACACACTAGTGAGAAAACAAATTAGGGGATCTTTTTGTTTGTTTCAGTAAGCTTTAGAAAGCTCATG